TTGCCCCATTTTATGACTTTCCTAGCCACAGTTGTTAAGTGAATCCACTTTCCCCTTTGACTTTGCTTGTCAGAAAGTCGCAAAAGTTCACATGAGTCCAGAATACTGCAACCGTCATAAATACGTTGTAACTTTGAACGGTCGCTAAACAAACAGTTGAAAGTCGAAGACTACCTGTTGTGAGCCAACCAGGGTTGTGTTTTATAAGATGGCCAGCCATATAAAACTTTTAAATATAAACGAACGTTCATCAGGGCAGGGATGCTGAAAAAGATGATAAAGTGATATAATGTAGTGATATAAACATTGGCAGTGATTTCCGAGGATCACTATCACATCATATGTGCATCTTGAGGTTGCAATTTTAAATGGAGAAGGAGAGTAATGGAAAATCACACCTTAATTTCAACAATGCATCTAATCGCTCATCTAATCTGATCCTACACGGATGTATCCAGAGGAGAAACAATTTGGTAATGCAAATAAAATTTCTGATAGCCAGGAAATCTCAATAAAGACTCATATGGTTTGTGATATGAGGGCATTGTTAGCAGCAATTAAAGCATCAGAAAAAGATGGTCTTTGGTGTAAGTTCTTGAGCTGCCTTCTCCTAAGGCGGGCCAACCTGATACCCCAGAAAAATGTATAGGTAGTCCTTGACTTACAATCATTCCAAATAGTTAGCGACCATTCAACGTTACAGCAGCACTGGAAAATGTGACTTATAACCAGTCTATGCAGCTAATGAATATAATAGCATCTCCATAGTCACATGACCAAAATTTGGGCATTTGGCAGTTGCAGACTCCCAGTGTCACCTGATCACCATTTGCAACCTTCCCAGATGGATTCTGACAAGCCAAGTCAACAAAGGAAATGGGATTTGCTTAATGACTATGTGATTCACTTAACAACTCTTTTGCTTAACAACCATGGGAAAATAATGTAATAAAATCAGGTGCGGCTCACCTAAAAACTGCCTTGCTGAGCAATGGAAATTCTGGTCTCAATTGTGGTCGTAATTCAATCTGTACTATCTGTACAGCTCCTGACATCAGATTTTGCAACCCATGGAACACCTCTGATTTTCTATCAGTTTACTGTAAAGTAAACCTATGCTGAATGCCAATTACACTGTAAGCCCAAAAATAGCTTTACATAGTTTTGTTAACACAGAGATCCCTGAGCAGTGGTGGTAAGGGACCAAAAATACTAATTTTGCTGCTGTTGCATTGTGATCAATGCCATCTTTAAAATATTTAATATAATTCCTGGTGGCACAGCAGACTTAAGGACTGTTATTAACATCAGCTGCCTGCAATTACTGCAAGTTCAAATCTCACCAGGCTCAAGGTTGACTCAGCCTTCCATCCTTTCTAAGGTAGGTAAAATGAGGACCCAGATTGTGGGGGCAATAAGCTGACTTTGTATAAATATACAAAAGTATGAAGGCTATTGCTTAACGCATTGTAAGCCGCCCTGAGTCTCCAGAGAAGGGCGGCATATAAATCAAATAAAAAAAAAAAATCCCCCAAAAAATCTTTTAAGAATTTCAGTTAGGATAAAAGCTAATGAAGAAGAAAAGTGCTGAACATTTTTCATAATCTTTTGTAGTATTATTAAAGATCAGCAGCACCCAAACAGCAGCACCCACAGAGAAAATACATTTGTTGTGTTTTATAAAAGCAATAGCAATAGCACTTAGACCTATATACCGCTTCACAGTGCTTTACAGCCCTCTCTAAGCTTTACAGAGGTTTACAGAATCAGCATATGCCCCTCCCCCAAAACCATTTGGGTCCTCATTTTACTGACCTCGAAAGGATGAAAGGCTGAGTCAACCTTGAGCCGGTTAGGATCGAACTCCTGGAATAAGCAGTCAGTTAGCCTGCAATACTGAATTCTAACCACTGCGCCACCACAAGTCACAGGGACTATCTTGAATACCAGAAAGTCAGTAATTCATGAAGGTTTTTGGTATCTATCTTTCCAGATACCAACCATAGATTAGCCTCCTTTCCATTATTAAGCAGTTTATTAGAGTGGAGAAAACTGAGTGTGGAGTAAAAGGAAGATTCTGAATTCCTAATTGTGCCAAAGAAAACTTTGGTTTTGTCTGTGGAGCAAAAGAATTTTGGATTTGTTCAGTAGTGATGCTTTAACTAAAGAAACAAATACATTTATAAAATATTTTATTCCAGCCAAATCTCAGATTGCTGGGTAGCTTGAATTAGCTTTCTATGTACTGTTTTGAAGCCTTGAGAAGGCTAGAATTTGGCTACTACCAGGGAGAAACGGTAAGATTGATTGATTGATTGATTGATTGATTGATCAAATTTATTTGCCTCCTATCTCTCAGTTCAGATGATTCTGAGTGGATAGACCTCCTGCATAATGGCTTTTATTTACTTATTACATTTTAAGCTATCTCTTGGCTTTGTAGAGCCTGCCAAGTGCCAAGCACTTTGGAGTGCAAATAGTCATTGTTAGGGTGGCACATGACTTGGCTTTTCAAACACCCAATCAATTAAAAATGAAGCTGCTTAGTCATCTACTTACTATTCAACATCAATACACTCAAATCTCTCACCAGATTTCCATGCTCTTCAAACATTCAAGACAGCTTGCTAGCCCTAATTTGTGAAAGCAGTAGATAATGCAAATTCAGATTTATCAAATGACATTTTCTCACATTTTATGATCTTCCCTCCCTTCCTTTTATTGATTATGTGCCCATCAGATTGGTGTGAACTCTTAGCAACTACATTGATTTTTTACATGACAATATAGTTTTTCTCCATGAAAATCATGGATTGTTTATTATAATATTTCTATTTATTAGGCTCTATGTAAAAAAATCAAACCCGACATTTGTGATATATTAGAATTAACCCTGGGAGGCTGATACTACTACCTGGGAATTCTGGGATCTTCAGTGCCAACACATCTGGATGTTTCCATGATGATGAAGATTGCACACCAATGGATAAAATATGTGCCTTTCCTCTCTGCCTCCTTTCCTTAAATGCATGCATTTGAATCCGGAGCCTTTAATGCGGAACCATCTTAGGACACAAGTAAGAGATAATGTGAAGAAAAGCAAACAAGCTTTTGCACTTCAGAACCTGCTAAATATATCTTCTATCACTGTCGATAATTCTGCCTTTCCTTCTCTTATTCAGGAGGAAATAGCTTAAAGTATATACCTTGACTGTAATTAAAAAGGAAAGAATACTCAGCTCTAAATGTCAGGTACCCTGGGACTAGATAACTGAAGAGAACTACTTTCTCATCTTGCATCTCCTATTGGTCGGGGTCCCCTAGGAAGATGCACCTTCTCTATCTCTCATGAGGAACTTTGTGGTTCCATCCATCCATCCATCTGGCTGTTTTAATATTTGTTTTCATTTCTCTTTTCATCTTCTGTTTTCCTTTGAATGTATTTGAAATGCGGGTTTTGAGACCACCCATTTTCTACTTGTCTGTTAGGATGATGTGCAATAGGCATGAATTCATCCCATATTTCAAAATACTAAAGCACTTAAAAGAGAAATGCAGTGCAACATTTATATGCTGAATAACCAATAAATGTAATTATTACTGTGCATTGGCTTGAACTCATCCCATTATTCTTACATAGAAGCATGATACTGCTCATGTGGCATCTGGTTGAAACTCTTCTTCTACTTAAACAGATATTTTAGGCACCATCTCAGGCTTCCTGTCAGTTTTCTTCATTGCAACATCTTTTGGGAGCTGATTTGTGTCATATTTCCCAGTTTTGCAGATGCTCTGAGCAATGGAATCATTAAGCTCCCAGTAAACTCTTGGAAGCTAATGCGATTTAGGTCCAGACCACAATATCATTCATGACACATGCCAAGAATTTCTTGGATTGCAGCAAATAATGGTTTCAATTTAACAAGGATGTTATTAAGCGACTCAAAGCCAAAGGCATATTTTCATTTATTTCAGGGGAGCAACGTTTAACATCAGGGTAAAGGGAAAAATTAAGCACTTTGGCTAGGGGTCAAACGTCTAGTGAATCTGTCAGTTTTATTTCCTTCAATTTTGTCATTTTTGTGAATGTGCCAATTCCGGTTTCTCTCAATTTTCCCTCCTTTAGTGGGATTTGTTGCATAATGTAATTGTTTGAGGTTGAGTTTGGGATTTTTTGGGGGGCAGGGTGTTAAAATATCAGGAGGAGGAGGAGGAGGGGGAGGGGGGGGGGAGGAGGGGGAGAGATTTTGTAATTTACTCAATGTTTCCAAGCACAGATGGCAAAAGAGATTTAACTTCAGAACATGTCTCAAGGTCTCATACCCCTGAGAACCATATTCCCTAAAATAAGTCTATGGGGAATAATAAAATGATCAATAGCATTATTAATATTTTTAAAATAATTAGTCAGCATTTGCATTTGCGTTTAGTTTTGCAAGACTGATACAAATTATTTAAGTCATTACGCAGTGACAAAAACAGAGTGACTTAAAAACATTTCACACACCTTATGGAACGTAGGACAATCATAACCATAGATTTACAACCTACCCTTCATCCTGTGGAACTTCTGCTTCTTAAGATTTCCTCCCATTCCAAATAGTGGCAAGAAGATAATTTTAGACTGGTGTTTCTCAACCTCAGCAATTTTAAGATGTGTAGACTTCATCTCCCAGAATTCCCCAACCATCATGCTTAAAATTTAGAGAAAACATGGCTTAGACAACAAAATAGTTGGTCTAAATGGATCAGGAGGGATGGAAAAGGCCTGGGAGGTATGGAATGCTTTTAATCCTAATCTGTTGCCAACCTGGCTCCAATTTGGCTAGGGTCACAGGATTTCCTGACCTCAGAAAAAAGCAACAATAGAAGCTGAGAGGATAGCACTGGATTCCATCCTTTCTTTTCTAGGTTATCTCCTTCTATATTTCTATATCTTTCTTCAGACCATAAGATCACAGATTTACCGTTTCAGAGTTAATGAAACGCAATCTAAAAGGTTCTGTCTAAATTTATAACATTCACGTGACAAGGAAATACCTTTGTTCTGTTCTCCACAGGTGCCAGTTTGAGTAACGATATCACTAAATACTTCTGGTTTCATCATTCCCAAGGCGACACAATGACGGTTCAGGATCCAGTCAAAATGAATCTCTGTGCTGCTCTTTGGACTGTTGTGTCTTATGTGATTGCTGATATGGAGGAGAAGGTACCAGTGTAATTCAGAAATAAATCAAGAAAAAGTATTGATTGTTTTAGCACAGACTAGGAATGTATCTGATCTAACTCTGTGATGAAACTCTAGGTTTCTTCCAAAAACTAAACTTTTCTTGATTCAACTCTGAACATGTCCTTTTATCATGTATATGTATTTTTGAATTGTGGGTCTAATACCTTCTTCTTTGGACAACTTCCTGATGCTTAGTTTCAGTGCTTTGTTCTTGTTGTTATTGATCTTTACTCAGCAATATCATAAAAGTCGCTGATTATTAAGTTACCCTTTTATCTGCTAAATACTTAAAATAAATATGGTGTTATGCATGAACTCCCGAGTCTAGCCATCTGTCAAAATCTGCCTCCTCCCCCAGCCTCACCCCACATTAGACACAGCAATCTGTGGCTGTTTTTCTACTGATAGAAAGGGGAAGCTCAGTGAAAGGGTAAATAAAGCCAGAGTAATCCACCAAACACCTTCCTTAAATTGTCCCTTTGTAAAGGATAGCACCACTAGCTGGACTCATTACTGAGAGAAAAAGATTCAGCAAATGTTATAGTGGGATAACATATATTGTTTATTAACCTGACTCTCTGACTGTGCCCAAAGGCAAACATTAGAGTAGTTGTACCAAGGAAACATCTACCTGAAAGGTTCTATCAAGAGAACCTCTGGCTCTATTCTCCAATAATTGGATCATCTCAACAAGTAGAGATTTAGCTCTGAGTTCTACATCTCTTTCTCAACTATACTCGAAATTTAAGTGCCCCACTTTGAGCCATGTTTTCATGTCCAAATATATTATTTAAACTTTGTGAAAGATGTAACTATTTGATCCTTGACAGAATGTCCATTGAACAAGCTGGCTCTTGTTCCTTGCCCTTGCATTCCCACATCTAAATAAACTCTACACTGGGGTTGAATCATTGGCTCAGCATCTTGTTTTCTTTTTGCTTGCCTGGATGATTGCCCAGCCACTAAATGTCACAAAGGTCCCTTAACACATGGTCCCGCCCCCCACACTGTAAGAGTGTATAGTCATAGTGAGATGAACATGTTATTATTTATATCATTTAAATGCTGATGGGATTCCAGAGAATGATATTATGTTGGCGGTCTTCGCGGTGGTGCTGTAAATCCTGCTACCACAATCCCTGTGTGTTTTTTGGTTCCCATTCCTTCTGTTTTTGTTCATTTCTTTTAATAAATGAAAATACTTGGAAGGCTGGCATGCTGTAAAACGTGGCATCGACCGTAAATGCAATCCACCTTTTCAGGAATACAACAAAGAAAAATGCAATTAAGTGAGGTTGGCCCTGGAGAGAATTAACAAAGGTAAGTGATTTCATCTAGCCATGGTGAAAGGGGGAGAATCTTGATGATCTGCAGGAGTAGCATAGCCATAGAGCAAATATATACCCAGTCTGTGTATTTCATGTTTTAAAATAGATACAAATCTTCTACAGCTTGTTCGTAGGGTTTCCATACGTGCTCTGCAGGAATCCAGGCAGTCACAAGATGGTAGCAAAGAGAACACAAATGCTCTCTGTTGCCACCTAGTCATCATTTGGATGTTGGCGGCTCAGATAGGACAGCCTATTTGTTCATTATTATTCTGAATGCTTTTTCATAGCATGAATATATTTTGCCTGATTTTTCCTTAAGCATTAAGTGCGCCAAGTCTATGCATTGTCTAAGTCTGGGCATGTTTTTCTGAGTATCCCCAGTCACCCCTCTAAAATACATAAAGTTTATATATGTTGTGCTTTATAGCAGCCAACTGTATGGTTTGATGTTTGGATTTACCAGTAGATCCCACTAAATGTAACTGTTGAAGATTCCCCACAAGTTACTTTTCAGTTCTTTTTTGTCCACTATTAGTTTTAGTGAATGTAATCAATTGGTGTGATATTGTTGTGATTATGGCATGGGTATATAAATTTTCAGAGGTACCTGTCAACCATCGATCGATAACTCTAACCCATTTGGCAGGGGTGAGGAAAGCAGGAGATACCGCAATAAGGAGACATAAACAACTGCGGTGTGAAACTGACTGGAGAGAAAACTTTTCAGCAGGCAAAAAAGGAACAAGAGCTTACATTTCTTTCAGTACGATCACTTTGTTGAAATAGGCATTTTATGCTATCCATTCATAGAAAAACACCAATTTTTTGAGTTGGCACGCTCCCTCACAGCCAGCTTTTTTGTGAAAAGTCCTACGACTTCAACTCCGAATGAGTCACTTATTTAAATTGTCTCATATTTGAAATGTTATTGTCTTGTTTATGTCATATGTATAAATATATGATTAAGTTGTGCGGTTCATCATGATTCAATACAATTTAGAAGAATATAATGCACGTAATCATATTGTCATTGTTCATTTTGTTACAAGCATATTTCATTATGTTGTATTATTGATATTACTTAAACCAAAATTCTAGCTGAATTTCTGAAATGCGATAATTAAACATATCTTACATTAACAACTTATTTCAACTCCACATGACTACATGGTGGCCACTACACAAGAACTGACACATGTACATCAGCCAGAGTACAATATTTTCATAAGTTGTTTGGCGGCATCTTGCTTGATCTTGTATCTATCCTGTCTTCTTCTGAAATGCAGGACAAAGAAAAGGAACCTTATTCTAACCTTATAGAAAACTTGTAAGGATAGATGTTGTCCTCTCTTTTCCTCCATTCTGGAAAATGGGAGAAAAGCTTCTGTTTGATTCATTCAGCCTTTCCTTTTCCAAATTTAGTTCTGGAAATATTAAATCTTGCTTTGTATCCCAGTTAGTTTGGATTTTATATTAATGTGAAAAAACCTAAATTAGAAGTGAACGCTACTATAGAAATTTCCAATAACCAGAAAGCCAGTCACAGAGGTAAACTTTATTATCTGCAAGCAAGAGATGCCCAATATTTTTCTTAAGTGAAAACAACAGTTCCCCCTTCCCACATGTATGTGTTGAAATAAGTATAGCTGAGACCTGAACTTTCCCATTGATGCAAAAATGGGAGAAAAGGGGGGGGAAGAATGTTGATAGCTAAAAGTGGTTCTTAGATAGAGAGATGATGATAAGAAGAGAGGCTTTCCAAAGAGGAAAGCACTCTACAAATGCCATTATCAACCAATCCAACAACATCAATTATTGGCAGGTCCAGTAGGAAGAATCCTTGGGCTTTGCCACTCTCCAAACCTGGGAATGTTAATATGACCTGTACACAGATTCTAAATCCAGATGATACTGGCTTCCTAACCACATTGAGAAGTGAAGAAAACCCTTAGAGTAATTAACACTATCAGTGTAACAAAACCTAAAGCACAGTTGGGAATCTTGCAGGCCAAAATCTATTCTGGCCTATGAAGTCAATCCATCTGGTCATAAGGATTCCAGCAAAGCTTCCCCACATCCTCCACAACCATCACTAGGTGCCATAGCTGACACTTGGAGGCATCCCAACTAGACCACCAGGCACTAGGTTTGCAAATATTGACTTTTCCTTATTTAGATTCATAAAAGGTAGGGCACTTTGTAGAAAAGATGAAAGTCTGGAGAGAGCGAAGGGCTTCAAGAATTGGTTTCCTTTCTTTTGTTTGCTTTCCCCAAAGTTCATCCTTCAGACATTATCTGGCCTAAGAAATTGTGAGGAAATGAATCCAGCCCTTGAAGGTTCAAATCACACTGAAGCATCTAGTGTGTGACACTGTTGTATATCAATAGCACTTAGACATATACCACTTCACAATGCTTTACAGCCTTCTCTAAGTGGTTTACAGAGACAGCATATTGCTCCCAACAATCTGGGTCCTCATTTTACCGACCTCGGAAGGAGGGAAGGCCTTGAGCCAATGAGAATCAAACTGCTGGCAGTTGGCAGAAATAACCTGCAATACTGCATTCTAACCACTATGCCATCCTGGCTCTATCATAACTGGGTTGGAGAAAAAGTAGTTATACCTACTTCTGGACTTTTTCATTCAGAAATGTTGCAAGGAGGGGGTTGTGGGGTTTTTTAGGGAAGTTTTTAGATAGGATTTTAAAGGGTTCAGGGAGGGGGGTGGGTTGTATGGGTTCGAGGGATAACCCGTGGGGGAGGGGGCTTGGTCCGGCTGAGGGATGCGGCATGGGAGGTGCGGGACTCGGGGTCAAGGAGGGGGTTAGAGCTTGTGCCGATGATGGGCATTACATCAGTACTGTGGGTGGGAGGGGCAGATATGGTGGGAGCAGGGGGCCATATCATACGGTGGGAGTGTGCGCTCGCTGTCTTCGAGCGGTGGCGCGCTCCGGCCCCCAATGCTCCTCTCGTTCCCCGGGTTGCACAGATCCTCAGGGCCTGGGCCTTTGGCTGATGTTATGCAACGCCAGGTCCGTGTTAAATAAAGCCTCCCTCATTTGTGATCTTGTTCAGGAGGGGGGAGCGGACCTGGCGGGTATTATGGAGACCTGGTTGGGCCAGGAGGGGGGTCCCCTCGTTGAAAGGTGCCCACCCAGTTTTCGCGCATTGCGTCAGCTGAGGTCACAGGGGAGGGGCGGGTGTGGCGGTTGTCATTAAAGAAGGTCTTGGTCCGAGGGAGGCCACTGTTCCTCAGACTGCCGGATGTGAGTAGCCTCCTTGTGAAATGGGGTCATGGGGTACAGATGGGCTTGCTGATTAAGTACCTGGCTCCCTGCCACGTGGCGGCGGCCCTGCCCGAGCTGCTCAACGTTATAGCCGTGGTGGCGGTTGATACCCCCAGGCTTATGGTCATGGGGGATTTTAACCTGCCATCTATCGGTGAGGCGTCTGAGGTGGCCCGGAAGTTCATGGCTTCCATGACAGCTATGGACCCAGTTAGTTCATGGCCCTACTCACATGGGGGAAATCACGCTGGACTTGGTTTTTGTCTCTGGTCAGTGGTTGAGTGATCTTGAGATAGGGGATATAGCGATTGAGCCCTTGTCATAGTCAGATCACTCCCTCCTTCGCTTTGTGGTGAAGGTTGTCGAGAGTGTGGTGGCGCGGCAGCTTCCCCAGTACCTGGATGAAACGGTTTATCTAGATCCGTTCCAGTCGGGCTTCAGGCCTGGGAACAGCATGGAAACGGCATTGGTCGCATTGGTTGATGATCTCTGGCGGGCTCGGGACAGGGGTTGTTCCTGTGTCCTGGTCCTATTAGACCTCTCAGCGGCTTTTGATACCATCAACCATGGTATCATCCTGCACCAGTTGGAAGAGTTAGGGGTGGGGGACACTGTGTTGGTTCTCCTCTTTCTCTCTGACCAGTCGCAGTCTGTGTTGGCAGGGGGGCAGAGGTCGACCCTGAGGCTCCTTGTATGTGGGGTGCCACAGGGGTCGGTCCTCTCGCCCCTTCTGTTAAACATTTATGTGAAGCCATTGGGTGAGATCATCCGTGGGTTCGGGGTGAAGTACCATCAGTACACTGATGATACTCAGCTGTACATCTCCACCCTGGACCACCCCAATGATGCCCTGGAAGTGATGTCCCAATGCCTGGAGGCTGTGCGGATCTGGATGGGGAGAAATAGACTCAGGCTCAACCCATCCAAGACCGAGTGGCTGTGGTTTCTGGCGTCCCGATATAGTCAGTTGGTGCCATCACTGACTATTGGGGGCGAGTCGTTGGCCTCCACGGAGAGGGCTCGCAACTTGGATGTCCTCCTGGATTCACGGCTGTCTTTAGAAGAGCATTTGACGGCTGTGGCCGGGAGGACTTTCTATCAGGTTCGCCCCATTCGCCAGTTGTGTCCCTTTCTGGATCGGGACTCCTTACGCACGGTCACTCATGCCCTCATCACCTCCCGCCTGGACTACTGTAATGCTCTCTACATGGGGCTCCCTTGAGGAGCACCTGGAGGCTCCAACTGGTCCAGAATGCGGCCGTGCGGGTGGTTATGGGAGCGACGTGGCGTTCCCATGTAACACCTCTCCTGCACGAGCTGCACTGGCTCCCGGTGGTCTTCCGGGTGCGCTTCAAGGTCTTGGTTACCACCTTTAAAGCGCTCCATGGCTTAGGACTTGGGTATTACGAGACCGCCTTCTGCTACCAGTAGCCTCTCACTGGCCAGTACGCTCCCATAGAGAGGGGCTCCTCAGGGTGCCATCGGCCAAACAGTGTCGACTGGCGGCCCCCAGGGGGAGAGTCTTCTCTGGGGGCACCTGCCATCCGGAACAAGCTCCCCCCGGAGATACGGAGGATTCTGGACTTATGCACTTTCCGCCGTGCCCTCAAGACCTTTTTATTTCAACAGGCTGGCCTGGCCTAACCTCCTTTTTAATTGTTAATTTTAAATTTGTTTTTAAAACAATAGGGGTGTTTTAAATTGTTTGGGCCAAATTATTTAATGTGTTTTTATATTGTTTTTAAATTTTATATTATGTGTGTTTTATCTTTTGGCTGTTCACCGCCCTGAGTCCTTCGGGAGTAGGGCGGTATATAAATTCAAAATAAAGCAAAGTAAAAGTAAAGAAAGAAACTGCATTCTCAACTACGCTCAAGGAGAAATTAAGATGATAAACTCAATGTTCTCACTGTGTATTTACTCTGATAGATTGTAGCTCGACTTTACTTACCCTTGGTCCAAGGAACTGGACAATTTACCTTTCAAATTACTTGAGCTCTGAACACTTTACCTAATTATATAAAATTATATCATGTTAAGAAAGCTATTGGCTAAGCTAAAAGTCAAACGTATGAATCACATACCTCAGTGCTGCAGGCATCAGTTAGCCCCTGAATCTCCAACTGTGTATGTATTTAAGCTTAATTCATAAAGATCTGGGCCACTTCCATTTATCCATTACTGCCAGTGGGCATCAAAGTATTTGCAACATCCATAGCTGCCTCATGAAATATACATTCGCTTCAGCTGTACCCAAATGACTAATTTTCTGCTCTTTATTGATTAGCATAATAAAAATCTCATGACAACAGGAGATGGAAATGTTACCATTAATTGCCAGTTGAAGTGAGCAACGTTTCCGGCATAAAAATTAACAAAGCAAATGTCTCTGTTCTCCCAGATGCATTGCATAAATGCAAGATATTTCTTAAATTTAAAAAATGTTACTTAGGTGCCTGCAGTTTTCCCTTCTGGTCGAGGTGTCCACAGGATGTAGTCACTCCAAAGAGTCAAGATAGTCAAGTACAATGGTTTGAGCTGTGGTGCTGTGGTGCTGGAGAAGGCTCCTGCATATTCTTTGAATAGCAAAGGTGACTAACAAGTATGGGAGTGCATAACACCCGTCATGTCAGTAGAAGGCAAAATTACAAAACTGAATCTCACTTATTTTGGCTATGTCATGCGGGAGAATTCGCTGGAGAAAGCAATTACGTTTGGAAGAGTTAGCAGTAAAAGGAAATCAGGCTGCCAAAGAACATGGTGGCTGGAGACATCAAAGCTGACACCAGCCAAAGCATAGAAAAAGTCAAA